TTCTACCCTTGTCAGATATTGCCTATCTATTTTAGCCTTTTGTAGCTTATTACGCAGTTTTGCTTTTTAGCCCATTGTTGAAATCTGTACGGTGACCTATATAGTTGTTAACTTCTACGTTTTTAGTTTCTGTTGAAGAGCCGTCACATTGGCAATGATACCATATTTGTATATGTTTTTGTCATGTAGGTGTAAGGAGACAACCTTTTGATTTTCTGGTGGGATAAAAAGGGGAGACAGATTTTTTATCACCTGGCCTGGTAAGTTTTTCAGGGTTCGTAAGGATAGAAAAGCCGGCAAATTGTAACAAACCCCTGTGGTACGACCATATTTGCCAAAAGATTAGTCCAAATAATTATGACGTCTTCCAAAGCTATTTTAACTTTTTTCTGGGCACGTAATAGTCAAAGCTGTGACTGAGTGCGGAAATATGAAGATAGATAGATAGAAAAATATAAAGGGACATAACTGAAGAACGGTAAAAGTGACGCTACCCAAATTTGAACTTGATCTGAGTTTTGTGGTAATAAGCATTGTGTGTAAGTCTCATAACATTTGGTTGAGGCTAACTTAAGTAGAGAACAGAAACTAAAAATTCAGCAATTTTTCTATTTGTAAACAGACATAACTCTAGAACGGTTGTGTATAAGTTTTATAACATTTGGTTGAGACAAACTAAAGTTAGAGAACGGAAACGAAAAATTCAGCAATTTTTATGTTTATAAAGGGACATTACTCAAGAATGGTAAAAGTGTCGCCAACAAATTTCGTACTTAATCTGTATTATGTAGTAATAAGCATTGTGTATAAGTTTCATAACATTTGGTTGAGGCAAACTAAAGTTAGAAAAGGGAAACAAAAAATTTGTACTTGATCTTAGTTTTGTGGTAATGAATATTGGGTATAGGTTTCATAATGTTTGGTTGGGGCAAACTTAAGTTACAGAATGGAAGCTAAAAATTTGCAATCTTTCAATTTATAAAGGGGCATAACTCAATAATGGTTAAAGTGACACTACCCAAATTCAACTTGATATGTGTTTTATCAGTGGAAGTCAAAATTAAACATTGCATTGTATAAAGCATTGATTGTAGCTGATTCAACTATAATAATGGACAAAGGAAGATAATTTCAATTTTAAAAATTACTCGATATTTAGAAGAAAATAAAAATTTTGCAATTTTTCCATTTATAAAGGGGCATAACTCTAGAACAGTTAAAGTGACGCCACCAAAATTCAAACTTGATCTGTGTTTTGTGGTAATAAGCATTGTGTATAAGTTTAATAACATTTGGTTGAGGCAAACTTAAGTTAGAGAACGGAAACTAAAAATTTTGAAATTTTTCCATTTATAAAGGGGCATAACTCTACAACGGTTAAAGTGACACCACCAAAATTCAAACTTGATCTGTTTTTTGTGGTAATAAGCATTGCGTATAAGTTTACTTTAACATTTGGTTGAGGCAAACTCAAGTTAGAGAACGGAAACCAATTTTGAGACGTACGGACGTATGTATACGTACAGACGGACAAGGGTAAAACTTAATGCCCCCACCGCTACGGCGTGGGCATAAAAAAAAATAAAATAGCCTTGCTAGACGTCATAATTATTTGGACTACCAAAAGATGTAATTCTTACTTGTTTGGGGAAGAGGGGATTAACCGAACCACTATTCAATCTAAATCAGTGAACTGAATTATTGTCTTTTGCAGTAGTCCGAGTCGACATCTGTAACTAATCATGCAAATTGATAGTCAACAGTATACCTTTTTCAGAATGCAGTTCACAAAGAATCACTGGTGATAGGGGAGTGTAACCGATAAATTGATCCTGAATCAGATAAGATTTTCCAAGGACGTATAACTAACACAATACGATCTTGGATTTTCCCAGTAACGGAGAACCCCTTTCTTTGAGTGAATATAAATAGTGACGAGGGTCTCACAAATAAATTTAAATCTGAATTACAGGAACATCGATTAGCAAAGTAAACTTACATATTAATCTCGAAGTTATTTACGGTAAAGACAGACTGTGCTCCTGAATTAAGGTATTATACATTTGTGTATTTTACTCGTGGAGGGCACTTCCTATATACAAGGTGATAGGACGTGCCGCTGGAATAGGTCACTTTTTCCAGCTTGAAAATATGGGAATAGGTGGGGAAAACTATCAGAAATATATGATAAGGTCGATAAAGTTCCAATTACTTGTATATGAAAAGCCCTGTCATTTTTTCACAGCCGAAAGTCTCGCCGTAAGTAAACATTACATACAGAATCTTAGCCTTGAATATTCCACTTTCCCAACACACCCCACGTAAACCAACCAATATGGAAAAAGGTTACAATTTTACCCACGCAATATATGAAAAGGTATACATTTTTAAGATCTAAATTATATGAATGGGTGGGGTAACAGAACCCCAGCGACACCCCCTATCAATTAAGTATTGAAGTGCCCCTCCCCCCCCCCCCCCCCGGAGGTATTTTACTGCTACAAGATATTTGATTTGCTAATCACGCACCCGTTGATGAGCAGTGAACCATACTTTCAAGCCAGGGGCAGTCTATACTAACAGTTAGTATAGAAAGTCCCTGTAAAAAGGCAGGCAAATCCTAACAGTACTGTAACTTAATGATACATGTATATCAAGTTACAGCACCTCACCCAGCACAGTTAGCACACTGGTGTGTGTCAGTCTTATAATATAAAACTGCGTAGGTTCATATCGTTTGATTCAACGTTTTTTCGGATATTTTTTAGGGCCGTTGTCAACTTGACATTGTCAAATCCGACCTGCCACTTTGCAACCTGACCTGCAAAAACATAATTCGACTAAAAACAATGTCAGTCAAAATTGCTTTTTGAGACTGGGCGACTGAAAAAGTTTTAAAATGTGACCTTGTGACCCTATGACCCTACTTGGAATTATTCATTCATCGGCGTGTGTCGGTTTGGCTAAAAAGGGGGCATTGTTTTTTTTTTCTTGGGACAAAAAATTGTTTCTATCTTTATTAAAAAAAAAAATTAAGACCAATCATAAACTTTTTTTTCAAAACTCAGTGTCGTATTTTATTGTTTTCCCAACCATTTTTAATAAAAGCTTTAAATGTTTGTTTCACTTCCCTCTGACTTCCCTCCTGATTTTTTTTCTCAAGAAATTATAGAATCAGTAAATGAATATATATAAATATATATATATATGTCTGTGGTCACCGTCATGCAGTTAGATAAGAAATTCCAGCAACCATCATCAAATAATTCATGTGTATTTGTGACATCAACATAACTGAAACATTATATTATTTCCCAGTAATTATGTAAATCATTTTGATTTACAATTATATATGTCTGGGACTTACCCTACTGAAAATGAGTACGGGATTCCACTGGATTTCCAGTGAAATTACACTGGTATTCAGTGGAAAAAAATATTCCGATGGAATCCCATTAGAATTTCATCCAAAACATCTGGAATATTTTTCACACTGTAATTCCAATGGAAAATCAGTGAAATTTCCAATGAAACTTCCAAAGATTTTCCAATTAATTTCCAGTGGAATATTATTGTTTATATTTCAGTGGAGTTTTGATTTAATGCAAATATTCAAGTGGAATTTTGGACTTAGAAATTTAAAGGAATATATACTTCTAATTTAAATTTTTCAAATAATTAAGTGCATGATTATTATATAAAGGATTTAATTTGTAACATATAATTTGCTGGCCTGATAAGAAATTAAATATTATAATCATGATAATATACATGATATATGGGATGTAATGAATAATTCATAAACCTACATATATACATGTATATGAAACATTTGTTCAAAAAATGTTACATGGTTAAATGTAATATGAAATCACTTGCCTAGTAACAAATGAAAATAATCATTTGGTCTGAAAGACCACCCCTTCCCCCCCCCCCCCCCCCCCCCATATAAAATAAGTAAAATGGTAGCTCCTCAGATGTAGGGTGAATATAATGCATCACCATATAGCCTATGAGTATGACACATTGAAAGGATACATTTTAACTATTAAGAAATAAAATTAAATGTGCAATAATCAGATAATATAAATAAAGAAATGAATATTTTATATCAAATTGGGTTGAGAATAAGATTCTGTTTGATTTTACGAACAAAAACAATTAAGATTCTTTTTGAAAAATGTGCATGGCTCTTAAAAGGGCCGTTTTAAACAGATCTGTAGCAGAAATTATCTTCAGACTGTACGAATTGTTAGGATAACTCCGTTGTTTTCTTCAAGTGACCGTACTGGCAACTGCCCTGCACTACAGTCTACATGTATACAATAATATAATTATTTCTCCTTTGACTTCATCATGTTCATTAACTGTTACTGGTCTACTGTTCTTTTGAGAAAAGTAAAGTGAACGGCTTTCATTTTCCACATTGTTCTATAAACTGTTTCGGTATCTTAACTTTGTCGGTGTGATGAATTTTTCATCATTTTCATGTCCTGAACTCGGCACTGGAACTCGGGTCATATAAGTTAATCTATAGAAACATTTCACATATAATCCGCTCCAATCAATTGTTCGCTAAATGTCAGTGTTTTGGCATAATTTGAGCAGAAAATTCGTGAAACTGTAGTCTTTAATGTTGTTTTTCAACACACATGTTTACATTCATGGAAGCTGCCATTTTTTTCTACCAGACTATATATATAACCGCTGATTTGATTGGATAACTCTATTTCCGGGATTTCCGATCGGCCAATCAGATAGTCGTTATCATTAATACACGGAATGTGTTCAAATTTGAAACTAAAAATATTGTACGAGTATGTATCCTGTCCAGCATTGTCCAGCTGTGGTTACATTAATCATGTTAATAATAATTAATACTCAACAACCTTCGATAAATAAAGAAATAGACATTAAAGGCAGAACATTTAGGTATGACATTAGCTGTTGAACCAAGAATTTACGATGAGACGATGTGCTGATCTGAGATAGTAGTCTCAGTGCTGATGTAGGGCAGACGTACAGCAGATACAGGTAATTTTTAAGAGATTTTACATTTGATTTTTACATCATGAATATTTTTAATTAAAATTTAAAAAAAAGATATACACCCCCTTTAGTTTCATTCATGGGCTCTGTTAGTTCACACTTTGAGAATGACCATTTGGTGTTCTGAAAAGGGGGAGGTGGGAATGTAATAATAATTTTATTATTCAATATTGAATTACATTGTGTGCCTTCACAATCAAGGAAAGATGTTTACAGTTTACTACACAATGTCAGGCACATTCAACTTAATTTTGTCATGTTCTGATTTGGATGGACATGCAACACAAAAAATCCCTAAAGGTAATTATAATATTATGTTTTAGAGTCTTTATACTTAACTGAAAGAAGCTTCTTAATTATATATGTATATTGTATGATAAATATCAGTAATATATGATGCATACAGGTCATGACCAGAATTAAAAATTATTAATAAAATGTTTTTACATTTTTTTTTAGGTTGTCCATATATTAAAAGGGATTGATCATGGTGAAGGTACAAAGCTGCAAAAATGATGACTGCATGTGCATCGATCAATATCCACTCAATAATATGAAAACACGATGAAAACAAACGATGAAAACAAACGAACCAGCAGCAGAAAAGAAATTTGAGTATAAGATTATTGAAAGGTACTTATTGAATTATTTTTTCATCCTTCCCACACTTGAAATAAAAATACATTAATCATGTTAATCATTCACATCTATAAGCTGTAAACACATCTCAAAACATTGATCTGATCATCATGCACAATGGTAAATCATGGCTATTATGTGAACAAAATGAGGTGTCTGGTATGCTTCAACCAGATAGTAAACCAACAACAAACACAACATAAAGGGAAAGATAATATGAGGCTAAATAAAAATATATGCATGGTTCCAATTACCTAACCTACCTTTTTTTTAGTCTTAACAATAGCCTACCCTAAAGATTTTTTTGTCATTTTTCAGTAAGTACTGTTTAAGTCAGAATGTTGCTACCCTAGACATGATAGACTCAATGTAAAAAAAAAACATAAAATAAAAAAATTCTTACCTACCCTAATTTTTTATACGACCGCAAAAAAATTTTGTGGTCGTATATTGGTATGACGTTGGCGTCGTCGTCGTCGTCGTCCGAATACATATTGGTTTTCGCACTCTAACTTTAGTTTAAGTGAATGGATCTTTATGAAATTTGACCATAAGGTTAAATACCACAAAAGGAAGGTTGGGATTGATTTTGGGGGTTATGGTACCAACAGTTAAGGAATTAGGGGCCAAAAAGGGGCCAAAATTGAGCATTTTCTAGTTTCCAGACAATAACTGTGGAACGGTGTATGGATCTCTCTGAAATTATACTACAAGTTTCCATACCACAAAGGGATGGTTAGGATTTGCTTTGGGGGGTTATGGCTCAAACCGTTTAGGAATTAGGGGCAAAAAAGGGGGAAAAACAAGGTTGTCCTGGTTAATGGACAAATACTTTAGTACAAAACATAATTTAAAGCAGTGTAAGGGAGATAAATCAAATACATCATTGAAATTATTTCCCTTACACTGCTTTTAAATTATGTATAAAGTAATGGTTAATGAACAATAAAGATAATCTAAAACAGTGTAAGGGAGGTAATCTAAATACAACGTTTTGGTTACTTCCCTTACACTGCTTTTAAATTATGTTTAAAGAAATGCATATTTTTAAAGAAATGCATATTTATAAAGGAAGACCAGTAAAAATATCTGCAAATGTTTTCATCTTTTTTTTTTACAAAAAAATCCATATGAAAGATTTGACACTATATTTTTATTAATTCTATTATAAAATAGATTAACATGATTAAGATAGCACTATGGTAAATTTAAATGGGTAATTATGGTTGCCATCTCCATTGGAAACTTGAATTGAGATTATGACCATATCTTGAGGGAAAGAATTTTTTTGGGGGAAAAAGGGGGGGGATAAAAAGAAATTGTGGGGGGCCAATTTTTTCTCATTTCAGATTTCAGAAATTAAAAAGAATTATTCTTCAAATATTATTTTTTTTTCAAATTTCAAATATTAAAAAATTTCAAGAAGTAATCTTTAATTGCACAGTATGGCGCATTAGATTTGTAAAATCTTTGATCACATTTATTTATTTGTTATGCCGAATCTAACAGTGTATTTAGATTTTTAATTTTGGGTCCAGTTTTCAAATTGGTCTACATTAATGTCCAAAGGGTCCAAAATTAAACTTTGTTTGATTTTAGCAAAAATTGAATATATGAGGTTCTTTGATATGCTGAATCTAAACATGTATTTAGATTTTTGATTTTTGGCCCAGTTTTCAAGTTGGTCCAAATTGGGGTCCAAAATTAAACTTTGTTTGATTTCAACAAAAATTGAATATATGGGGTTCTTTGATATGCTGAATCTAACCATGTATTTAGATTTTTTATTTGTGGACCCCGTTATCTAATTGGTTCATATTGAGGTCAAAAGGGTCCAAAATTAAACTTTGTTTGATTTCATCAAAAATTGAATTATTGGGGTTCTTTGATATTCCCAATCTAACCGTGTATTTAGATTTTTAATTTTAAGTCCCGTTTTTTAAATTGGTCTACATTAAGGTCCAAAGGGTCCAAAATTAAACTTAGTTTGATTTTAGCAAAAATTGAATTCTTGGGGTTCTTTGATATTCCCAATCTAAACATGTGTTTAGATTTTTGATTATGGGCCCAGTTTTCAAGTTTGTCCAAGTTGGGGTCCAAAATTAAACTTTGTTTGATTTTAACAAAAATTGAATATATGGGGTTCTTTGATATGCTGAATCTAACCATGTATTTTGATTTTGGACATTGGACCATAATAGGTAAATTAAAAAAATTCAAGTTCTTAGACCACATTCTTTCTGTGTCAGAAACCTATGCTGTGTCAAATATTTAATAACAATCCAAATTCAGAGCTGTATCAAGCTTGAATGTTGTGTCCATACTTGCCCCAACTGTTCAGGGTTCGACCTCTGCGGTCGTATCAAGCTGCGCCCCAGCGAAGCATTTTATTTTTAAATGTAACTGGAACCACACATACTATTTTATTTGGCTTTGTGAGACACCTGGTCCATGAACAATAAAAGTCTATTTTGATAAAAAGAGATGTGTGTTATAAGTCTAAGAGACAGCAACCCAACAACTATAGCCAAAGATATCTAGAGAACACATAGTCTTCAACAATAGACATACATGTGTCAGTCTTCAACAATAGACATACATGTGTCTAAATTGCTCTAAGTGTATAAATGTTGTGAATAAATTACACACAAACACAAATAAAATATGCCAGTAACATATATTTTTGAATAATTGCAGACTGGAGCATGGTATTGTAATGTTATTTTAATTCAAAATTCTATGCATGTTATGATGTTTGATTTTTTTTCTTTCAGATTAATCAATGAAGACTTAATGGAACAGGATTGGAATGCAGAAACTTTGGACTTAATTCATGAATAATATCAATGGATGATGAAGAAAACTGACCAAACTGACAAAGTATTTCGTATGCATGTAAACTGAACATTTTTGTTTGTTTAACATTGTTTAATGCACAATAAACAAATTTGTAAAATTGAAAATTAAAACCATTTGTGAAAGATTTCAAGAGGACCAAAAGTTACCATGGATTTATGAATGATTTAACCAGAAAAATGATTTACATGTACAATTAAGTAAATACATCTTTGACTAAAAAATGATAATTTGTCAACGTTAATATTTTAAAGAGGTTGATCTTTTCGTTTAAAAGGTCTTAAATGTGGATGATGTATAAACTGTTGTAATTTCTTTAATTGTTGACTTGCATTAAAATGGTTATTGTCTTATTTCAAGTTTTCTTATTAATTCATTCAAAAATAAGCAGTGCATGCAAAATGATATCTAACATTTCAGTGGAATTGTCAATTTCCATTGAAATATCACTGGTTTTCTTTGGTTGATTGTTACAATTTCCAATGGAATTACCACTGGTATCCCAGTTGAAAACAATAAATGTCCAGTGGGAAAACAATGGTATTCCAACGAAGTTTTCACTGGTATTCCAATGGAATTTCCACTGTATCCCACTCGAGTATTCACCGGAATCCCACTGGATATTCCACTGATATCCCAATGGAAAACAATGAATGTCCAATGAAAATCCCGACCAAATTTCCCAGTGGTAATACAGTGGTATTCCAATGGAACTCTGATGGAACTCCACTGGTATTTTCAGTGAAATCCCACTTTACATTTTCAGTAGGGTATGCATGTATATATCTCACAGGCACTTGTCTCAGAAAAAAAAATCCTATATACTTTAATAAAAGTATATAGAAAAAATTCTGAGACAAGTGCCTGTGATATATCTGTCAGTACCAGAATAATAAATATAATTGTATCTTAATCTTTGGAAAAATCCGATTATTAAATTGTTAAATTCTTTTACGTCATAATTATATCAAAGTATACTTTTTAAAGTTTTAAATTTTAAAGTTAAAATGAATATTCCGTTTTGATCGGAGGAAAAACTTTTTAAACTGTAATGACATGGTAGTCAACTGATTTGTTGAATGGCTGATTACAGGTAATTAAAGCATGCAGTAATTTTCCATTACGACAGTGCGTGTACCCTGGGGTGTGTATAACCTATTAGAAATATCATAGTTTTCTAGAGAACATCCTGTCTATGTGTAATACAGATTGATGACATTACACAAAATTTTTTTCGTTAAATGTAGTTAAGTATCTGTGTCCATTCCCTATTGCAACACTATAATTCTTTCGAAGAAAAAAATGTTAAAATTAAAAAAAAATCATTTTATATAAAATAAAGAAGAAAAAACTAGCAAATAAACTTATTTAACTACGCATTGAGTAAACATAATTTCACTTTACATGTACAAACCCTTGAGAAAACGTATATATAGATGTGTTTAAAAAGGCCAATTCCCAGTGGATTTATTTCACACTAGGACCACAGGCACTTGTCTCAGAATTTTGTTTCCTATATACCTTAATACAGGGACTTTCTATACAAACTTAGTATAGAAAGTCCCTGCTTAATATAACCATGGAAGTATTATATAGTCAATATAATACTTCCATGATATAACATTAAAAGTATATAGGAATTTTTTTTTCTGAGACAAGTGCCTGTGACTAGGAACTAAGATAACTAGAACATTGGAAAGGCTTTTTGTCTGATACATGTATACGTATAGATAATGTACATAATTAAGAACAGCTTCAAATATATGCCTATAAATTAACGGTACGTCTAAAAACCGCTCAGGACCTCCTGAGTGCAGACAGGACATAAAAAGTCACTCAGGACATGTATATATGTTATAGTGAGCGTTGAGGGTAATTTAATATTTGATCTTATAATTTTGGTTTTGATAAAATCAAACCAACATTAAAGAAGTTATTTGGGATACGTCATGCATGACCGATGATCATATTCAATACCAATCATCATTTTGATTACGACGTTTGATCTTTAATAATTAGGACTGATTGGTGATGGTTATAAACACATACAAGTAAACTTTGTAAACAAAAAAAATAAAAACGTTTCCTTGGAAAAATTATAAAAATACATGAATATTGTTTTTACAAAAAAAGTTAAATAAATTTATCGTTTTGTATGTAATAATTGAAGCCATTTAGAAATATAAGAAATATTCACATAGTCGGGAAATTTTCAATTCAAGTTATTTCATGTGAAAACGTTAACAAATATAGATCTTATTCGATGTAAAATGTGGCGTCCTTGGAGATCAAAACCCCGTTTAAATAGGGTTTGTCTACTTTCGTCTATTGCCGAACATTCTATAATCAAGGATTTTTACAAATCCTTGCTATAATATAATGAATCGCGTCGCCAATATCACCACAATTACATAAAGTACAAATACAATCTTCTCCTAAATATTTGGCATCTAACAATTAAAATAGGAAATTTTGAGTCGAAACTGAAGTACCAAATCTACAAAAAGAATCACTATTTTTTGTAGTAGTAGGCGTTGAAAACTAAACTGTTTATAATCTTTTTTTTCTCCTAAATTAATTGAAACTCCTGAAATAATTTAACATTATCTATAGACAGCTTACATATGCAAATCTTTTTAGAAGTATGTGAGTGTATAGTAATAATTTTTTTTTCCTTCTATAAAATTACATTGTAATCGATTTTATTTCCAAATTTGTGTTTGCTAGGATTGACACTTAGAACGTACAACAAAAAGTAACAAGTAAAAAGTCACGATTCAGTTTTGGGATATTTTTTTCTTTGAATAAACTTAATTTTAAAAATGTTTCAGTATTTTCTGAAACATTTTTAAAAGTAAACGGACTTGTAAACAAAATTTATTTTTGAATATTAATATGAACAATGATTGTTAAGAAAACAATCTGCCAAAGTGGTTTGGTAATTAACTGAAGTCATGCTGTCAAAAATATCTCCTTTTTATAAGTTATTGATAAAAAAAACTATTTGAAGGCGAATTAATCATTTCCTCAACTAAATACATTTATCTATAAATAAAATCAATTCGTCAAGAACTTTCTCTCATATATTTAAACAATTGTAAAATAATTAATTTAAACCTTTGTCCTGCGACTTTCTGTCCGTTTACCAATACTTATTCCTTGTTAAGTTTTTTCATATCCATTTACGAATACTTATAACGTGATAATTAATTTTTCCGGATGCTTTTTATCCTATTTTCATATAAAACAACCATGTTACCCGTAGAACGGAGTAAAGTACAAATTTAGGAATTTAGTACTTAAAATTTCAACAACAAAATTTTACACTTTCATTTACCTGGATTTTTTTCTACGCTTCGAAGCCGCCACCCTGTATCAAACTTATCCAACACCTCGCATGGCGTATTCACGATGTGGAGGGATTGACAATATACAATCAAAGTTAGCAATATACAGCAAGTAAGTAATTGGGTGTTGAATGCCAGTAGATCTGAATTTGTAAATTTTTAAATTGAATTTAACCTGTTTAGAACGTGTATTGTTGAATTGTTCAATAAAATTACACACATAATCTGGGCTGATATGCATAAAACCACTTTAAGTTCAAGGTATCAATAAAACTGGGTCTGCATGAAAAAATTACTTATCACATAATACCAGAACCTATGTTTAGCCTACTGTTACACGATAAGAAAATATAGCTGTAGGCCTAGTTGAAAATCTTTACAAATTATTTATTCTTTTAATTTCTGTTTGGCTGTCTGGGTGCTTCTTATGTGTTTTAAATGCTATAGTCAAGTTTTATAGACTGTTGTACGTCATTTGGTCGTTTTTAAGTTTTTGCCATGGCGTTTGTCAGTATGTCTTCGACTTATAAGTTTTATCAAGGATTTGTATAGTGAGATTGGTTTTATATAATCTGCATCTCTTGTGCTGTATTTTAAAATGTATTACAATTGCTGCATCTTTACACATTCATCAATACACCAAAACATATGAATAAAGCTTTCGTATATATACAAATAAGGAGATGTGGTACGATTGGTAATGAAACAACTATCCGCCAGTTCAATTCAAAAACCTGATATAAGCAAATGTGACTTACTTACTTACTTTAGTCAGAGAGATCTTGAATCTGAATTCAAGGATACGAAGTGGGAAGGGGTAGAGGTGGATTAAGGTGAGGGCATGGGGGCCCGCCCCTTTTTTGGAAAAAAAATGGTTGATTATTTAGAGAATCACTGAAGCGGGCCCCCTCTTTATGCATGACAGTTAGTGCCTCCTTATGACATTTGTTGGGTCCGCAACTGGTGAGGACTTCATAAAAAAATATTTAGTAAGTTTTTGTTTTGTGATGAATAATGTATTTAGACAGAAATAGGATAAAATAAACTACCGAAAGCTTAAGTCTACATAACAGGGTATGGATGGGGGTTAACAGAATAGAGAATAACGGGCAAACAATAAAGATTAAAGAATAATGAAATGCTAAAATATGAGGAAAGAGAGTAATGTGCAAAAAGTGTACGTTTGTAGAAATATAGCAAAAAAAAAATAAAGAACACAGAAAAAGAAGACCCCCCCCCCCCCCCCCAAGATCCTGACTTCAACTTTAACGCTGCCGGGATATTTTTTAGACAAAGTGCACGTATTAGTAGTCAGCCGAAACCACTAAGCGTTTTGCATCCATACGTTTTTTTTCGGGATACTGCATGACTGCATAGTAAACTATCAATGTACTAGTTAATGTTCTCGAGGGATGACCCTATTACAGAGACATATATACACATATGTGTAAATATGTCTCTGCCCTATTACTTGTCAGTAACCTCGTTGTGACTGAGTGCGGAAATATGAAGATAGATAGATAGAAAAATATAAAGGGACATAACTGAAGAACGGTAAAAGTGACGCTACCCAAATTTGAACTTGATCTGAGTTTTGTGGTAATAAGCATTGTGTGTAAGTCTCATAACATTTGGTTGAGGCTAACTTAAGTAGAGAACAGAAACTAAAAATTCAGCAATTTTTCTATTTGTAAACAGACATAACTCTAGAACGGTTGTGTATAAGTTTTATAACATTTGGTTGAGACAAACTAAAGTTAGAGAACGGAAACGAAAAATTCAGCAATTTTTATGTTTATAAAGGGACATTACTCAAGAATGGTAAAAGTGTCGCCAACAAATTTCGTACTTAATCTGTATTATATAGTAATAAGCATTGTGTATAAGTTTCATAACATTTGGTTGAGGCAAACTAAAGTTAGAAAAGGGAAACAAAAAATTTGTACTTGATCTTAGTTTTGTGGTAATGAATATTGGGTATAGGTTTCATAATGTTTGGTTGGGGC